CGTCGCGCACGGTTTGCAAAGTGCGCATCGCGTCACGAGCTGTATTCCCGATCGTCGTGGGGGATCGGATAGCTCGAGCCCACCCCGCAATCGGCCCCAGAACGCGACCAAGCCCTCCCATAATGCAATTTGAGTTAACTGCCGGGGGATGATCGCCCGACAGCCACCCTATAAACTGTAAGCACACAATGCGTAATGTACCGAGCGCACGGGGACTCGCTTTCCTTCCATAACCGTTGTTATTCTTGTCGCCCCCTGAACGATGCGTAGATAGAGATAGACAGCACGTGAATTGCGTAAAAAGCCTCTCGGTGTTTGATAAATTCAATACTAAATCAGCAAAGCGTCTTTACGTATAAACTATAATTATTAATAAGAGAAATCGTATTTTGAAATCGACGTCCGAGAGTAAAGTCTCGAGCAACGTTTTCGACGAAATCGACAGGAATGCGATCGAGTATAACACAGCCATGCACACGGAATTATCGTGGTACGTGAAGTATCGGCACGACCCACATTATGATCCGTAGGAATTAACAACGCCATCGGTTTCTCTTATTTTAATTAATGTTTACGGCTCGGCCGTAAACCCCGGGCTGCGGACACGGGCATCGATTTTAAATGGGAACCCGGGCATTGTCGGACTTTTATGCGCACGCATAAATCGCTCGTAGAAACGGCCGGGGTACGCCGCGCGGCTGCCTATCGCGCCGCGACTCCTTTTATAATTCGAGCTCTTTACGCTGCTTATCGTTTTCAAATTGAGCCCCGACCGGGGCCGAGGATAATGGCGCAGAAATTGAATTCCTTGAACCAAATAATGAAACAACGCGCGCGCGCGCGCGCGCCTTCTCCGTCGCAGTACTGATAAAACTTGTGTAGGTAGGTAATTGTGCCGCTCTAAAAATAGAAATTGCCGAGCTAACGCGAGCGTATTCTCCGTTTAATGAACGTTCCGTTAAGTGACCGACGGAACGAATTCATGTTTGTTAATATCAAACCAATTTTCCTCTAACATGATTTCAAGGATGTATCGTTGCACATTATTTTTGGTATTAGAAACATAACGTCTTTCGACAAGAGTGATTCATTCTATTGTGCAACGTTCAATTGATATGATAAAATTCATTCGTGAAGAACACAGACGTGAACAAACTCCGAAACTGCTCTACCCACCCATTTTCCAATTCTCTCTGTCTTGAAACTATTCTCCAATGACTGCTCGGCAATCAGTAGACCTTCCGACTCCGCTTCTTCGATTTGGAACCATCATATTCCGCGGCCTGTGCAAACAAACAATCTTCTCCCTCGCAGGGTGAAAAGATGACTCGTACTTCTACTTACAAAGAAAAGACGGACACACGTGCGCGAGCAAGTACGGCAAGTTTCCGGCCAATTTGCGCCGATAAAACCCGAGAAACGCCGCCGAGGGGCTCGGAGTTGCGAGCCCGCAGTATGGCTAACAGCCCGAGAATCCCTTCCCGTCGCGTTGCGGCAAACCGGCAATTTTCACCTTCACCGAGCGAACCGTTCCTCTAAGACCCCGTACGTACGAGCCTTTTCAATTATTTAAACAAACTATGGTGTTTTAAAACACTGCGCCTTATAAAAATGTATGCAAAGTGTTTTGCAAGGAGATCAATGGCTGTAAATCTATTCAAAATATTTTAAAAGCAGTGTCAGCCATTTACTATGACAGTAAAAATAAAAGCAATATAAAATGCAGAATGCCTTGCTGTATTAATGGAAATATAAATATGAAACAGTGCTTTATTGAAATAATTGAAAACGTAAGACACGTTTTTGTTTGCGTAAAACCGGCTTGCGTGTAGCAGGCCTTGAAGCATTCAGCCCCCTCGAAACGATTCTCAGGTTCGTACGTGATTGCTGTGCGGCGACTACTGTTTGTTTAGCCGCGGTCATTCCGTCCAACGGAACTGCCTCAACCAAGATTTTTCGCAATTTCCGCCTCCGTTTCCTACGGGATACTTGTTTCGTCTTTCCCTGGTACAGGATTCTTCTTCTTGTTCTTCGCGTTGCGGATCGAAAGCGCCAGGATTACGGCAAAACGGGTAGGCTGAAATTACAGGTGCAATTCACAGCGCGAGGTTTACTGCTTGCATCGTTCGCCAAAATTGTGACGGTTTCCGGTATGCTCGGATAGCTGTGGGATGAGAAGCGTGGATCAGGTCGGCTCCCGTGAATTGTTCACCTTTTACGATCCCTTGATGGGTGCTGCCTTCGCGGAGATTCTGAAACAGACTAAAACCTCTGAAATATTAGAAGCAATGACTAAAAATATTTAACTTTCCCACGTATTACAATTGTATAATAATATTTTAATATATTCTACGCTTATTAACTATGGAATTAATGAAAAATTGATATTACGTTATTAAATTTATAGCAATTAGTATTGAAAATATATTACACAAATATGATTATATTACAAAATATCATCCCCTGTCCTTACTGGAAACTGGGGGTGAAACTTGTTAATAGATCCTCTTTTTTACGATCTTCTTTTCTCAAGCGAGACCCAGAAGAGCGGCAAATACAAAGCAACCCATAACGAAAAACTTAAAAGTATAAAGTTGTTTCAATGTAACCAAACGAAAGGAAAAAGGCGCCTCGTGTCACCTCATAATTTAACTTTCTTCGCGCACGGCTCATTAGTGTCGAAACTCGTTCAACGTCGAAGAAAGCTCCATGAGCTCGATAAGCGGAAAACTCCCGGCCGAGGCTTTTACTGCCGCGATCCATTTTCTCTTTTTTTTTTTTTTACAAGAACTTTCGTTTCCGAGGTCGCAATAAAAACCGGTCGCCATACACGCCGCGTTCTCATCCCCGTTTCATCCCCCTACGTATGGTACGCCCATCGCCCATGTTCCAGCCGGCGGCCCCTCCGATTACGTTACATTCGTCCTCGGCTTTTACGATTTTCCAGCTGGTTTGCATTTCACGCTTTCCACCTCGCGACGACTTCACCCTCGCCCCTCTCCCCCGCCGCACCCTTCGACCCACCGTCGAATTCTTCCCAGACGCCGAGCATCGTTCCACAAAGGATTTCATTTTCTCAAATAATCCCGAAAACGCGATAGAAAACTCGTAAAACGGCCAGGCAATCTCGCATTTACGAGCGCGGGCTCGTTTCCGCTGTCAACCCGCCGCCGTTTTTACTTGAAACACGGAAACCCACTGTTCCTGAGTCGAAATTATTCTCTCGACGGTTAGGATAAGGACTCAGACTGGTTATTGCAGTATCGCCTTCGATTGTTCCGAATCTCACAAGTAATGATAGCAGCAGAAATTCGATAAGAAAAAGCGTTTTCGGTCGAGATAAAAAAAATAACAAATAGAACGGATCTATTTCTAAATCCATCAGATGATTCTGATTAACTGTAAGCCGTAGAAGAATTCTGAAGTAAATCTTGACAAATCGTAGGGACCGAACGGGATGCCGAAATCCGCAACGTAACGATATCGTGTTCGCCTGTTGCCGCTTTTTCACTGTTCTTTTCTTAGTCAGCCACCCACTGCGAGGCAGCCTCTATGAAACAAGAAGAAAAGCCTAACTGCCGACGGATTTATTCGTTTTCAAAGAAAAGGGAAAACGTAACCCGAGCACCGTGTCGGGAACGCGTCGCCGCTAAACGGGGCCACGTGTTGTCGCTAATTTCGGCAATTAACTAAACGTCTGTCCCCTGTTACGTTTAATTGTTATTAATCGCGTCTCTTGACGACGCTGACTTTTCCAAGAAACGAACTAATGTTCTTCTAGAATTTTTTTTTAAGAAAAATCTGTACAATTTACGTACGCATAAATTAAACGTGCTGGTTTCGTCTCAATCATTCGTCTCAGTTTCGTTAAAATTAAAAAGCAAGGTTTTGTACAAGATCATCTCTTTACATTTTTTACATTATAGATCGAAGTAACCGATTAATACATAATATCTAAATGAATCTTCACACTGTACTCCGTTCCTCCCTATTGATTTTTACACACGACGATAGCCCGCGGCACCTGGCATCTGGCTGGCCCTCCGTTTCATCTGAGTATGTCGTCTTTCGATACCCTTATGCCCGGATATCATGCTACTACGTAACATGCCCGGTCGGGATACCGCGCGTTTCGCGTGCAAGTGATGCACTTTCGGTTCCGGCGGTTTCTTCTTCGTCAGAGGCGTCTCCCAAAACATCTGATCGATTCCGAACAGCTCACCGTCCTTGACCAAAACGTGACTCCGTGGATTATAAATTTACAAAATCCAGTGAATTATGTGAAAGTGAGTTTTAAATGCTACAGCAATATTGATTTAAGGAGTTCGATTGAACATGAATCACTCTAGTTCGATATAATAATATCAAGATGTACCATCAACGTCTGGGGCAATTGTTCATAGAGCGTTTCCGGGAGAAACAGGGAGAGTATCCCAGCCACGATGCAGGAGACCCCAAGGATGATCATAGGCAGGTTATACATGATCGTGCTGGAGAACGCGATGAAGGGGCTGAAGAGCGAGGTAACGTATCCTATGACGTGTATGAACGCCACGCCCTCGCCGCGTATCACCGTCGGCAGCAGTTCAGCCGCGAACTGCATCGCGATGTTCGACGAGACGTTTATGAAGAAACGGCTGCATATCGCGAGCGAGGTGTAGACGGCGCCCATCGGGAAGCAGGCCGCACCCAAGCTCAACAGTCCGGAGAGCGTCACAGCGGTGAACAGCAGCCATCTGCGCCCGACGACGTCCAGGGTGTAGGTAATCAGTATCTCAGAGGGTAGCTCGGTCGCGGACGCCAGCGTGAACGTGATGAACACGTCCATTCCGAGGGTGTCCAGGCACCTTATGTGACCGTCGTACGACATCTGTATCACACCCCAGACCGCTATCAGCAGTAGAGTAGTCTTTCTGTGGAGCATGTAAATCCGTTCTGTAAATAGCAAATCATTAATCGCCGCGCTGAGAATCACGGTGTAAGTCGTGATACGAGGTTCCGTCAGTCGAACATAGAATAATATATGAATAAAAATAAAGAATAAAGTTTTTAATAAAAAAAAATACTCGGAAGAACGCGTAATTAAGTGTCGCTTCAATATTCTTGGATTTTTTTAAACGTTACATTTGCTATGTTCGATGTAAATCACCTTAAACGTTTGGTCCTGAAAAGATCTTTAATACTGTGAGTCTCGGCAGACAATTCTTCCGCAGTTTTCTGGCAATCGTCCTCGAATTCCTCGTATATATCCGGCGGTATCACGGTGCGATTTATTTTCTCGATGCTCCAGATAATTCTCATCGCTCTGTTGATCTTCCCCTTTCCGATTAACCACCTATCCCATTAGATTGCTTTTAAACTGTTCATTTCCCATGAAGTGTTCTATGCGCGTGTACCTGACGCTCTCGGGTAGAAGGAACGGTGCGAATATGGCAGAGCTCAACGGGACGGATGTGACCAGCGCGAAGAGTCTCCAATCGGCGATCGAGTAAGCTATCCAAGGTAAGCTCATCGCGCTCATCGTGTAAAACACACCGTAGGACATGTTCGCGGCGAACGTCCGCCACTCCGGCCCTACGTACTCCAGTACGAGTATGTAAGCGATGGTGAACGTGTTGTCGTAGGCGAGACCGACGACGAACCTGCACGCGCAGAAGTGCCAGAATTCGCTGACGTACATGGTGCTGACGCCGCCGATAAAACCCAACATGTTCGTTCCTACCAGGACCGGAACTCTTCCGTATTTATCGGCCATCCAACCGAACACTAAACCTCCCAAGATAGCACCGCCGAAGAAGATGCTCTGCGCGAGCGTCACTTTGTACGTCGCGTCGCAGACCTGCCAGCAAAACCCTTCAATTAGCAACAGTTCTTTGCCTAATTCTCATATTTTTCTTTTTATACATTCAAATGTATATTCTAATTTTTGCCAGAGGATCAGTATTGATGAAATATGTATAACAATATTAGAAGTCATTTTTCTACCCATTTCTGTTCGGCAGCGACGGACTCGTATGGCACGTCCTGAGCGGTATATTTAAACTCCCATTCGTCGCATTTTTTCATCGGCCAATCCGGGTCAGGCTCGGACTTTTTAATCGCCTCTTCGACCGGCACGTCGTAGATCCAACATCGAGAATACGGTAAATAATGATCACCCTCGCGAGGTACTAATTTCGAGCTGGGTATCATGTAGTCTCTCAATTGTTCCGCGCTGAAGTTCTTAATTTCCGGTACCTTGCACCAATGCTCCTTTGGTACCACGGTGAGGAACAGTTGCGAGAAATAGACGAACGTGAGGAACAGGCAGAAGAAGAATAGCATACCAAAAAGGTATTTCTGGTACGCGCCGAATTCACCTATCGAAGTTACGAGTGTCAGATCAGACAGTTGGATCGGAACGATGATTAGAAATTATGATGAGAATATGAACCATGAGAGATGGTGAAATTACAAGGATCGTGCACTACGTATTTGGATTGACAATTATGAAAAGGCGTCTGTTCACTACACTTGCCTAGATAGACTAATACATCATCGAGAGTCACTGCTTCGCTCGCTGGTTCAGTCGGCCAGAAGAACCACGATTTTCTAAATTGTGGAGGTCGCGAACTCATGTTATTCCCGTCTCTGTGTATCGAGAAACTCAATCCACGCGAATTTAGTCGATCTCGATTGATAGAATCGTTTCACATTTATCTAATTTCAATACAATGATCAGAAGAATCTCTCCATTTTGTCAATAGCAGGTTGAAAAATGTTTTTTAGTAATAGTAATTCTTCTTTATTAACCCTGACGCAAATTAATTAAAAATCAGCTACCGGGAGACGCCTTCATCCCTAACTAACTCACCCACGCTCGTAAAGAGATCGTTTCTGATCTTGGTGTCACCCTAACCGTTTAACCTTAGGGGGTTGATGAAAGCGTCGCTTCGTAGAAGGGAGCGAATCAGAGCTGCCGTTTAGCTAATGCGTGTAATGCGACCCGTGGCACGATCCGACACGATTCTGCGCCTGTTTCACGCTCCTCGTTTACGCCGCTGATCCCTCTCGCCTCGTTTCAGACGCCGGGGGTGGCGCGCACCATCTTAAAAATTTACACCAACCAAAGTAACTATCTCGTTTTATAAAATACATATAGCCAGATGCATTTAGAACTTATTTTCAATGACATTCAGCGAGATCCTTATACTAGACCATCCCTTACCGAGGCCGATTTCCAATTTGCAGGGACGCATAATCCGACGATTTACATAACTCCATGGTAACGGTATCACTCTCCCTCTCGAGGAGTCGAGACTCCGCCTTTTCGAACAGCCATCGGGGGTGGATTCCTCCAGAGAATACAAATGGTCGCAATTTAAACCACCCCTCCTACAAGATTGCTCTTTCCTCTCTGAGAATCGACGAACCGTAATTCGCAACTAATTTTCCAGTAATATTTTATTCTTAAAGTAATTCATAGAGTTACCACAAGTTTCCAATAGTGTCATATTCATTAAAGTATCTAAATGAAATAATGTATAGAAATAATTTAATATCGTTCAGTATTTTATCGTTATTAAATCGATTTTCACAATTCCTGTAGAAGTAATACGATTTCTTGTTACGAATGGCCACCATTTCCCGTTTGTTTTGTCCAGAATTAGCTATCCTACCGGTGACGTAATTCGCGTTAAGTTTCCTCCGTTTTTCGAATCGATCTGGCGACGAATCAGGGTGCAGTTAGCTAATGCAGACCCGTGTTGGCACAGCCCCCGTGGGGGTGGTTCTCCCTGCTCCATTGGCGTGGCCAGAGGTGAATTCGTGGCAACGATCAAACGTAATACAAGATCACGCTTTTCCTTCAATGTATAAACTTTCTATTATTGTAAGATCCACGTTAGGAAATTAAGTTATATTATTCGACTTGTAAGTTTCGTTAAATTACATAATGACGTACTAAGAATCGAAATAAAGTAGCGAATAAAAGAGAAACAATGGAAGTATTAATTTGCAGGTAGCAAAACTGCTAACCAGAAGTCTTATCAGAAACCTTTTTCATCCCTCGGTTCTCAATTCGGGAGAACTTTTTCCTGAAAGCTTCGCGGGCGTTAACGGCTCTAATTTCCAGCCGGGGGTGGCTTTTGCAGCAATTAATTTCCCGGGAATCCAATTAATTCCTCGCCGGTCAATGAACTAACGTTGTTTGCCGGAGAAAACGTCTCCGGGATCGTCATGCTAAAACCACGAGCCGGAGGGGTGGCCGACAACGAGGACGAGGGAAAGGTGGCGGAGGCGCCTCTGGAAGATCGTCTGGGACGCGAGGGGTAGCCGAGGAAGGGCGGTGCAGGGTGTAGATAAAATTACATTATCGCCTAAAGCGTCCTCGACGAAGGGGAAGGGGAGCGGGGAGGGACAGGGGCTCGGGGGTGAAAATCACGTCCCGTAATTCCCAGGCATTAAGGTAAACGTCCAAGTCGCAGGGCGCAGGTTCGGTAGCCATGGCGACTGACACCCTCTCTCGGCTCCCTTTCAATCGATAACTTATGAAACCGTCCCCGCCACCCTCCCACCGGTTCCTCCTCCCGGATGCTGGAACCCGTTTCCCGGGATGGTTACCCCTCGTGCAACGATCAAACGCTTTTTCCATGCTTCCTAGCAATTTAATTCTTTGTACAACGAATTTCCTTCGGACTAGCGAAACGACGTCACCAGTTTTTACTTTAAGTAGTGTTAAGTTCAGCTTAATACGAGATTAATGTTGAGTAGGGCTTAACACGAGATGACGATTTTCTTTATGGTGAATAGAGCATCGACTAGTGAGCAACATTTATGTGAATTTAGATTTAATATAAATATAAAAGTCTTTTTCTAAATGCACTTTTATTCCATTATTGATAGCAAGGATTTAAATGCTGTAGTGGTGACAATAACTATAATGTTTACTTTGTAATAATTTTTCATAGAATGCTTATAATAATAAGTATCGAGTGATGAGGGATGAAGCATTAAAGATGATCGTTTCAGCTCGGACGTTAATGACTGTTTTTCTCGCGGCAAGGGTGGTTAACCCCCTCGGCGATCTCTAGCTCTGATTGGCCCGACGTTTAGGGGATGATTCCAGGCGCGATACGGTCACCGGTTGGCCGGATTTAATTAATCGATCGCACGCATTACCGGCCGACAAATGGTGGCCCGGGTGGTTAGATCGTTCGCAGTTAATGTCGCCCCAACATTCGTCACGAAGAATAAACAAATTCCGTCGTAATATATTAAGTTGCGAGCTGAATGTTATATAAATTAAAACATGATTCTTTGCATTGATATTGCTTAATTCTCATTATTCTTAATTTATATTTTTCCTTGCGTGATTTATAAGATAACAAGTAGTACGACAAAAAAATGAAAAGTAAAGCCTGCAAATCTTTAAGACTGACAAATTGATATAAAAACTGTAATGGGATTGAACAGGTCCGGAATACAATGCCAAGAAGTTAAATTCTGAAATCGTTTGACGGCAGTTGCCCGTATGGTGGAGTTGCATATAAAAGCACAACGTTGCACCCTCGGGGAGGCTGTGGGAACGCGGACTTGAAGACTTCATTATTTTTGAGGGGAGAAGTGCCCTCTCTCGTTAGGGGATTCCTCTAGCCGAAGGCGACGCGAGGCCTGTCTTGTTAAAATTCTCCATATAACCCGGACCACGCAGCCTCCATCCATCCTCTCCCCTCGCACCCTCACAGTTTTCGCGTTTTACTACGTAAAGTTGACGCCTCACTTTCGCGATTTCTTTTCACAAACGTGATCACCGATTTCCAATCGTAATGCAATTTACATAATCGTAGTCCATATGCCTAAATATACTTTAACTACTTGTAAGTTCATGATTAGTCTCAGAGTTACGAGTTATCTTCAACACAGAAATGATTACCGAGAATTCTATCTAGGAATTATGTTAATGCTCGTTTAACTTGGAGATTACCACAAATTTCGGAACGGAGTTTGCAATTATCCAGCCGAATAATAAAGAAACAGAGTAAACAACGGAGAGAAACGGTAACCCGGGCGACTTAATTCGACGTAATGTCAGGTTAAATCCCGGTGACCTTTCGCGAGAGCTGGCTCGTGATTTAAGGCGATGATTGGCGTCGGCTAATTGGCGGCCTTGTCTTCCACCGGCGAAACTCTGATAAATACACCGGTAATCCCATCTGGTGGAATGCTCACGGGGCCCGAGCGCTGTGAACGAGGTGAAAAGATACACGGGGGCCGGTTAACGAGATGAGGATAGGCGATGGGTCCAAGGACGAGACGAGGATCGTTTTCATTAAACCCGCTCGCCTAAACTGCCATCAATTTTCAGCTCGATGAAAGTCGACTCCCCTTGCCCGTCCATCGGCCGTCTTTTCGACACGCATTTTCGCACCATTTGTATGGATATTCGCGTGGCTAGTCTAATTAAATCACGCCGGAATCTCCGGCATTCATTGAGATTTCATGTATGTAAATCAACCTGATCACGCTAGCCTCGTGTTAAGTGTTTAAACACACACGAGATAAATCGATAATAATCTCAGTGAATATAAAAACGGATTGAGAATTTTTATCGATAAGCTGTGCAATGATTTCGTGTGTTCGCGATAATATAAAACATTGGGATGAAGCATTAAAGATGATCGTTTCAGCTCGGACGTTAATGACTGTTTTTCTCGCGGCAAGGGTGGTTAACCCCCTCGGCGATCTCTAGCTCTGATTGGCCCGACGTTTAGGGGATGATTCCAGGCGCGATACGGTCACCGGTTGGCCGGATTTAATTAATCGATCGCACGCATTACCGGCCGACAAATGGTGGCCCGGGTGGTTAGATCGTTCGCAGTTAATGTCGCCCCAACATTCGTCACGAAGAATAAACAAATTCCGTCGTAATATATTAAGTTTCGAGCTGAATGTTATATAAATTAAAACATGATTCTTTGCATTGATATTGCTTAATTCTCATTATTCTTAATTTATATTTTTCCTTGCGTGATTTATAAGATAACAAGTAGTACGACAAAAAAATGAAAAGTAAAGTCTGCAAATCTTTAAAACTGACAAATTGATATAAAAACTGTAATGGGATTGAACAGGTCCGGAATACAATGCCAAGAAGTTAAATTCTGAAATCGTTTGACGGCAGTTGCCCGTATGGTGGAGTTGCATATAAAAGCACAACGTTGCACCCTCGGGGAGGCTGTGGGAACGCGGACTTGAAGACTTCATTATTTTTGAGGGGAGAAGTGCCCTCTCTCGTTAGGGGATTCCTCTAGCCGAAGGCGACGCGAGGCCTGTCTTGTTAAAATTCTCCATATAACCCGGACCACGCAGCCTCCATCCATCCTCTCCCCTCGCACCCTCACAGTTTTCGCGTTTTACTACGTAAAGTTGACGCCTCACTTTCGCGATTTCTTTTCACAAACGTGATCACCGATTTCCAATCGTAATGCAATTTACATAATCGTAGTCCATATGCCTAAATATACTTTAACTACTTGTAAGTTCATGATTAGTCTCAGAGTTACGAGTTATCTTCAACACAGAAATGATTACCGAGAATTCTATCTAGGAATTATGTTAATGCTCGTTTAACTTGGAGATTACCACAAATTTCGGAACGGAGTTTGCAATTATCCAGCCGAATAATAAAGAAACAGAGTAAACAACGGAGAGAAACGGTAACCCGGGCGACTTAATTCGACGTAATGTCAGGTTAAATCCCGG